TTCATGTTTTTTCTTTTTTGTCTTTTTCTGCATGAATACAAGCAGAGTCTTGTTAGGTTTGGAATTCTAAATATTTCTTGAGTTCAGTTAAGCAGTTTCCTAATTGAGATCTAACACCCAATTGGTTCTGTATGATCATTTATGCTAAAATGGAGAGCTAATACTTCTTAGAAAGTCCAAAAATTCTGCTGAAAAGATCTTCCACAGATTCTTTTGAAGTTCGAAGTTTTCTGAGTATAAATTCAGTTTAACCAAGTCCAACACGGGAAACAATTCCCCAACTATTGCTTATTACTGATCAGCAGTGATAAATTGAAACGAATATTGCTATAATCTTTAAGCAAGCTTCAACCTTGCATGACTAGGAGTTCATGCATTAGAGGTGATATAGAAGCAAGATTGAGAGACATTCTTTTTTAGAGAAAGTATGTAATCGCACACAAAAGTGAAGCTTTCAACTAACTCAGGTTTTCCAGAAGTAAACAGGTATCTATACGTGCTAAAAGTGCATAAACATGATAAAGTTAATTGAAGCATACCACAGAGGAACTCAGATGTGTAATCTTTTAATAAGTTCATTTGAACTGGTATGGTCTTGTATTTCCATCAACTGACATAATCCGGATCGGCCATCAACAAGATGTCAAGATATCCTGTTGGAGAGAAAAAAAGACATTTTTCAATATCTCATGGCAAGAAATGAAATCAAAAAATTGTAGGCGGATATTACCCCTGGGAGAAATTATTGAGTCTATTCGAGGGAAAAAGAATTTGAGATTTCATCCAGGGGTCTATCTGCCAAAATCAAAGTACGAGGGAATATGCTCCAAATGCAACACTAGAAGGGTCTATGCGCAATTAACCCTAACCAAGATCCCAAATAGTACATCTTGCAACTATAGACAAATAATAGAATGAGATTCAGATTCTACCAAAGCGAATCAGCAAGAACTATACCAGCACAATCACAAACTTGCACCTTCTCTACACATAAATCAGTTTATTGCTCCCCTTTCCTTAATCAAACCTTGAGAGTCTCAAGAGGATCTCCTTAAATTAGCCCAATCAGAACTTTTATCGTTCACCTCCCAAATCCTCTTTTGAACTCCAGTTATAATTTCTTTCAGGTCCAGAGCAGTAATTTTGTTCATGCTCAAGCCTCCATATTAAAACATTGATTTGTCACATCTTGATCAAGATCCAGTTCTCAATTCCTTTTGAACTTCAATTAAAATCAGTCACCATAAAGAACTAGCCAGCTCAAAATCTTTCATAATTTCTTATGAAGTTTTCTGAAAGTCATTCACTATTCAACCTGAGATACACCCTGAATAAGAGAAGTATCAGCATGCTTGGAATCAGATAACCTCATCTCTGCACACAACTCCTCTAGCATTGCATATATCTGATCATTTTCCGGATGCTTCTGATCTCTGGCCATAAACTTATGGGATGCATCACCAACATCAATCCAACTTAAACCAGGTTCCTTTCTCAATCCCTTCTCTCTCATTTCCTTTCTTACCCAATTAACATTCTCCCATTTCCCCTCAGCAGCATAAACATTTGAAAGAAGAACATGATATCCCGCCAAATCACTCCTCGTCTCTAACTCAAACAATCGATCTGAAACCAATTTTGCCAACTCAAATTTCTGATTAACTCGACAAGCAGAAAGTAGTGATCCCCAAATTCCAATGTTGTTATTGTCATCTTTGAGATTCTGAACAAATTCATAAGCATCCTCAACTCTCCCAGCTCTCCCCAACATATCCACAATACAACAGGAGTGTTCTTGTGTAGTCACTATGCCATACTCATTCATTGATTCATACACCATAAGACCCTCGTCGACCAATCCAGAGTAACTGCAAGCTGAGAGCAAAGCAACAAAGGTGACAGCATCGGGCTTTATGCCTGATTCTTTCATTGATTGGAAAATGGACAGAGCTCTTTCACCGAGACCATGCTGACCATAGCCAGATAACATAGTAGTATAAGTGACTGTATTCTTTTCTTCCATTCCTTCAAATACTCTTTCAGCAGAGAGAATCTCCCCACATCTTGAGTACATATCAACCAGCGCTGTGCCTACAAAAACATTCTTATCTAGGAATCGACGAATGGAGAAAGCATGGATTTCTTTCCCCATTTGGACTCCTCCAATTGGATCACAAGAAGGGAGGATCGACGATAGCGTCACTGTATTGGGTATTTGGTTTTCTTCGCTTATCATCTTTCGAAATAGATTTACAGCCTCTTCAGGCTGTTCGTTTTGCATGTACCCTGCAATCATTGCATTCCATGTGACCTGATCTCGCTCCTCGGCTTTGTTGACATCAAACAGCAATCTTGCTATCTCTACACAACTAGATTTTGAGTACATGTCAATGAGATAGCTCTCCATCCCTTCACACTCAATATCATTCCTAATGAGATACCCATGTGTTTCTTTTCCAATCCTAAGGTTGCCCAGATTCGATGCAGCTGAAAGCAAGGCCGTAATCGTCACAGGATCAACCAAAAATCCTTGCTTTTGCATCTCATAAACCAACAATAGACCTTCCAAGTTCAAATCTTTTTGAACAAAAGAAGATATCATGGTGTTCCAAGTGACGATATCTCTCTCGGGCATCTGCTGAAAAAGATCGAAAGCAAGCTGAACACACCCACACCTCGAATACATAACAATAAGCGCATTATACAGAATAAAAGGCAATGAATTTGAACTCTTCTTCATCAAATAGCCATGAATCTGTTGCCCCAGTCCAACATCCATCATCAAAGAAACCGCCATCAAAGAATTCACAAAAGTAACACTATCCGGCTTAACCTCATCCGACCTCAAAACCTCCACAAAAAGCCTTACCGCCTCCTCAAACTCCTCGCCCTGCACATACCCACCAATCATCGTATTCCAAACCTCAACGTTCCTCCTCTTTGCAGCATCAAAAACCCGCCTCGCGCTCTCAACATCAAACAACTCCGCATACATAGAAATCGCCGAGCTCACCACAAACACGTCATCCACGTACTCCTCTCCACACTTAACAAGCATACCATAAACCAAACGGGCAAGTCCCTCGTCCTTCAAAAGGGCTATCGCCGGAAACACATTAACGAAACTAACAGTCGTCGGCCTTGTCCCGGCCTTAACCATCCGTCTAAACAACTCCAAAGCCTTATCCGGCTGATTTCTTCGCACAAAAGACGCGATCATAATGTTCCAAGCCACGGCATTTCTCCTGGGCATTGTATCGAACACCTTGCGGGCGACGTCGAAGCTCCCCGAGGAGGCGTACATGCTGAGGATTGAGTTGCTGAGGACCGGGTTCCTGGGCGGGGCCGGGGAGTGGCGGATGACGTGGCAGTGGATGGACCGGCCGACGAGGAGGAGGGCCGGCGCTGGCGGCGGCGGTGAGGGCCGAGGAGTAGGAGTAGTGGTCGGAGGGGACGGAGGAGTGGTTCATGAGGGAGTAGAGGGTGAGGGTTCGGAGGGGAGGGAGTGGAAGAGGTAGGCGATGAGGAGGTGTTGTAGAGAGGGTTGGGATCGGGTGAGGGAGGGAGTCGAGGAGGCGGCGGGCGAGGTGGAGGTCGCCGGCCTTGCAGAGGCGGCTGAGGCGGGAACGGAGGGAGATGGGCTTTGAATGGGTTTGCTGGGTTTTGGGAGGGAGATTGCTGGGGGTGGTTTTGGGTTCGGGAGCGGGCGAAGGGGATGGAGGCTGGAGAGGAGGGGGGAGGGAGGAAGCACAATTGACGATGATGATGATGACAGAGCAGCGTCGCCATCTTTTTGCCTTTATCTTGTTTTTTGAGTGAGAACCAAAAGAAGAGAATTGGCTGATGAGGGAAATATCTAATCTAGTCCTGGGAATTAGGAAATAAACATGACATGTCAGTGTAATAGCCTAATAGGTATGTAATAGAGTGGCACTAGGGGTACACTCCCAACCACACTCACTCTCTCATTTGCCACAGTGCACCGGGCTCCACATGAGATTTTAAAATTTTAAAATCTCATGTAAGGCCCGGTGTACTGTAGCAAGAAGAGAGATGGTGTGGTTGGAGTTGTGTCTCTATCATTTTTCTATGTAATATGAATGTGTCTACAAATTATTATATATATACAAATAGTTAAAATATAGGCTAGTAGATTTACTTCAAGATTGTTGGGTAAGTTAAAACTACTTTATCGCTTTAATTTTATTTTATTTTTTTTAACTTTTATAGTTGATTGTCCCACTTATATAGATGTCAACTTGCAAAGATACTTCAACATAGAAGACAATCTTGTAGCGTAAGATCTTTTATTTGGATATAATGGAAAGTTCAAGTATGCCCTTGGGAAATGGAGATACGAAATCAAAAAGAAATGGTTCGAGGTATACAAAGAGGATTGGGAGATGTTCTATGCTTGACCTGTTCAATACACAACAATATATACAAGCTCTTGAACTTAACAAATTTGAATCCTCTCCACCACCACAATCATTGACTATCTAGTGAGTGACTATAATTCAATCTAAATCTAACACTTATCATACCTCCCATGAGCTACGTTCGTCCCCAATTTGCAATCGAAGAAAAACTTTAGAGAATCAATAATTGTAATAATACAATAGTTGCTCTACAACTTTTTCAGTAGTGGAGAGCATCCTAATCTGAACTTCACTATGCTAGCTGCTGAGAACAAGCTAGCTAGTGAAGTGATGAGCTCAGGATTCAGGTTGTCAGGGTGGCGGTCGACCGGCCCGGTCGACCGCATTCGTGCACGAGGCTTACTGGGCTTCGGTGGTGGTGGCGGTCGACCGGCGCGGTCGACCGAAGATGGTAGCGGTCGACCGACGCGGTGCGCGCGGTGCTCTCTCTGGATTCTGGGTTTGATGTACTGGATGGTGGGGCGTCCCGACGGCCCGTCGACCGCGGATGGATAGCGGTCGACCGTACCGTCGACCGCGCTGCGGGTTTTGAGTTGGGCTCTGTTTTCGACGCCGCTTCGGTTTTGGATTTGTATAAATACCCTTTGGGTGTTTTTTAGGGTTAAGAGCAAGGACAAATTGAGCAGATTGAGAGAGTTTTTCTTTTGGCTTCTCTTTGTTCGCGGGGAAAACCGTGTCTTTCTTCATTTTGATTCCAATTGTAATCATTTTACAACAGTTTATCAGTTACGAAAAGATCCGATCTTTTTATAAGATCGGTTACAATGAAAGTCCAAATAAAAATAAAGAAGAGTTACAACTTTGTTTCCTTATTTGTCGAACGAATGCGAGCTCCTATGTTTTGCGGTCGTCGGCTTGGTGGGTTCTTTTGCCTGCGCCGGGGTTGTTTGCCGTGACCATCGCGAGATCTAGATCCGGTCGGATCTACAGTACGACGGGTATTATTCCACGAAGGAAATAATACGGGGAGGATTGTTTCACCAGGGAAACAATCGTCGCAAGTCTCGGGATTAAGCCAAGCCTAGATCCGGAGTTCGTACGCGTAGATCTGAGATCTGGTCCTCTCGACAACCTGCCTTTTTGGCGTTGACGGTCGCCGAGCACCAGATCTGGATGAGCAAGTCCTTGAAGTCTCTAACGTTTGAATCTTGTTAAGTTCCGAGTCTCCAATCCAGCAGGGCTTCGCCTCTCTCGCAAAATTTCCAACTTTCAAATGACACAACCCTCTCCTATTTATAGCCAAGCGTCACTGTGCACTGTGCACGTGTGGCCGACCCCCTAGGTGCGGCCACTCAAGGTGATGGCTCATGCCGGGCCACGCCGTGAGGTGGCTCGGCGGCACCCAGGGGGTGGCTCGGCTTGGCCGAGCCACGCCTGAGGTGGGCTCGGCCTTGGCGAGCAGCCTGAGGTGGCTCGGCCACCGAGCCACCTCAGGGTGGCTCGGTTTCGGCCGAGCCCTCCGGGTGTTGTTCGTTCCGCTCATTTTTCCGTTGTCCGGTCTGCGCTTCGTTGTTAATCTGGACTTGATTCGGTTGTGTTTTTTGTGTGGTTGAATTGACCTGGAAACGACTCGTTGACGTTGATCTGATTTGGCAGTAAACCCGGATCCCGATTAGGCAGTAAATCCGCTTCTGAATCTGAGTCCGAAACTGATCTTGATTCGATCGTGATTCGTTCGAGTCCGCTCTCGGTTGGATGACTCGTTGACTCTTCGAATACTTGGCTTGATCCTGCACGCGAATGGATGTATTCCGTTGCTTCCGTGCGATTCGTCGATCTCGTCGCCTCGTTGGTTTGTCAGTTCGTGCCGAGCTGAGCTAAGGGACCTATAAGCAGTTTTATATGCCTACAGATACCCCCTCCAAAGTATTTCAGCCTCGTTCTTTTATAGAAGAGTCTGGAATACTTTGGATATGATTGTCCCCACCTTCAGTCGGTGTAACGGGACCTCGGAATGACTTCCGTTCTTGATTCCTTCAATTCTCCAGGCTATTCGGTGCTTTGTCGAATGTCTGTAAGGGTTCCGGTGCTGCATTTATTGTCGGAATTTTGAACTTTGAAGTCGGTTCCTGATTTTCTGATCTTTAGCTCACCATCGATTGTTGGCGTCGAGTCTTTATCTACAACGCGTTGTCCGGCGTTGTGTTGTTGAGTTATCCTTAAGAATATTTATAAAAAAAACATTCTCCAGGAACTTCTCAACAAAATTTAGGGAACAGTTTATACTCATATACTTTATCGGAGTATTAAGAAGCAGTTTATACTCGTATACTTTTCGGAGTATTAAGAAGCAGTTTATACTCGTATACTTTTCGGAGTATTGATCCTTTCATTGCAACGCATTGATCGTCGTTGACCTAGGGTTACGCGTTGACCGGCGTTGACCCTAGGGTTTTGAATGTCGTACGTTGACTGTTTGATTGCGACGCATTGATCGGCGTTGACCTATGGTTACGCGTTGTCCGGCGTAGACCTTAGGGTTTTGAATTTTTTGCTCGCAACGCGTTGACTGGCGTTGACCTAAGGTTACGCGTTGTCCGGCGTTGACCCTGGGGTTTTGACCGTCATACGTTGACCTTTTGATCGCAACGCGTTGACTGGCGTTGACCTAGGGTTACGCGTTGTCCGGCGTTGGCCTTAGGGTTTTGGACGTCGTACGTTGCTCAGGTCACGAGACCAACTAAAGAAGCTGATGCATCAGTGACTTTCGTATTTATAGGATTTTTGGCAAATCCTCAGCCATCAACGGGTTTGATGCACCTTTACGGACTACCGTTTGAGTCGGGCTAGCATGCGGATTGTTTAAGTCTGTTCCGCATGTGACGTTACGCTAAAAGAGTTAACCCTTTTAGTGCTACGATATTGAATACGTAGACTTCGTCTTTCTCACGGGAATAGACTACCCGGCAACGCGTGTTAGGCGTTGACTTAGGATTTTTGGCAAATCCTCAGCCTTCAACCGGATTTGATTAGCCTTTACCGACTACCGTTTGAGTCGGGCTAGCATGCGGATTGTCTAAATCCGTTCCGCATGTAACGTTGTGCTAAGAGAGTGAATTCCCTTAGACTATTGAACGATCAAACCTTTAAACAGTTAGGATCGTCTCAAATTCCCATCTTGGTCAAACCTTTAAACAGTTAGGACCAAAGCCAAAATCTCCTCTTGATTCGTTCCATGAACAAGAGGTCCACAAATTGAACGATCAAACCTTTAAACAGTTAGGATCGTCTTAAATTCCCGTCCTGGTCAAACCTTTAAACAGTTAGGACCAAAGCCAAAATCTCCTCTCGATTCGTTCCATGAACGAGAGGTCCACAAATTGAACGATCAAACCTTTAAACAGTTAGGATCGTCTCAAATTCCCATTTGGTCAAACCTTTAAACAGTTAGGGACCAAAGCCAAAATCCCCTCTCGATTCGTTCCATGAACGAGAGGTCCACAAATTGAACGATCAAACCTTTAAACAGTTAGGATCGTCTCAAATTCCCATCTTGGTCAAACCTTTAAACAGTTAGGACCAAAGCCAAAATCCCCTCTCGATTCGTTCCATGAACGAGAGGTCCACAAATTGAACGATCAAACCTTTAAACAGTTAGGATCGTCTCAAAACTCCCACTTGGTCAAACCTTACTACAGTTAGGACCACAACCAAAATCTCCTTTCGATTCATTTTTTGCGAACGAAGGGTCCACTTTTGAATTGAGTAATCAAACCTTATGACAGTTAGGATTATTCAAACCAATCCAGATTCTCTAAGTGGAGATCCCACTTTGAGTTTCTTTACTCCAGGAGATAGAATATAAAATTCTTCCTCTCCATCACCGGGTTTATCTCTACCAACAAACAAGAGACCAGGAGATAGAATATAAAATTCTTCCTCTCCATCATCGGGTTCATCTCTACCAACAAACAAGAGACCAGGAGATAGAATATAAAATTCTTCCTCTCCATCATCGGGTTCATCTCTACCAACAAAAAAGAGACCATAATACTCCAATAGGTATACGAGTCTAAACTGTTTCCCTACCTCCAACAGGAAGTTTCTAGAGAATATCAATCAAAATATTCTTAAGAATAACCTGAATACTCCAATAGGTACACGAGTCTAAACTGTTTCCCTAATCTCAACAGGAAGTTTCTGGAGAATATCACTCAAAATATTCTTAAGAATAACCTGGCTACCTCCCAACGGGTATACGAGGTTAAACTATTTCCCAAGAACTCCAAAAAAATACATGAGTATAAACTGTGTTCCTATGAAGACTGATACAGTGATTAACAATGCGGTATCAATTTGATGACAAAAGCTGAATTCACAAGTACAAATTCCAGCTTCAATTCAAGATCTCGACAGAATATCAGTTAAAATATTCTTGAGAATAACCTGACTACCCCTAAACGGGTATATGCAGTGTCAATTTGACGACAAAAGCTGATTTCACAAGTACAAGTTCCAGCTTTAATTCAAGATCTCTACAATGGACAAGCGATAAACGCGATGCCGGGAAGAATCTTAACTATTCTACAA